GGAATACAGAGCAGCCCCCATGCACCAGCAGATGGAGATTCTTGTATCCCTAGGCRGAGAGTATCCAACCTCAAACAGAAGCACATCTGTGTGTAATCCATATAAATACTCCARTGCTGAGGGAGTAATTATTTTCTTTTTACTATGCACGTGGTTTCTCCCTTTCTGGATCACTGCTGCTCCTGAGAAATCATTCAGGGCTATTTTTTCTAACAACTGGGAGGTCTTCATGTGGTACATCAGATTCCCTCACACCCAGCCCAAAGTGAAAGGGTCTTTTATTCACCATGCCTAAATCCAGATAAGTGGAGCCGTGAGTTTCTTAGCTGCACGAGTCTCTCCCCCAGGACACTAAAGCCAGGCTCTTTCCCACACACACTCTGCTTCCCACGCAGAGGCATCCCCTACATCCTGCCCTCTCCATCCTTCTGCTGGGGATGCTTTACTGGCAGCTTTGGGACAGACCTGCCACACATAAGCAGAGGCACTCATCAGTGTGAGGGGGCGAGGGGGTGGCCAGCAGGTGAGTTAGGGCTCAAGGCAGGTCAGGCTAAAGCCCCTGGCTGGGCAAGGCACCAGGGGCAGCTGGAGGGTGCCAATGCGCTTTGGTGTCACGATAACTTCTGAAGTTCTGAAATCTGCTTTAATTTCCCCAATAGAAGAAATCCCATATCAGAGGATTATGTCAAAGCAGCTTGAAAAGGTCCCTTGGAAGATTGAAAAAGTCAGGGTTTTTCAGGTCTTCTTGTATTTCTCCCTCTTTGTTTCCCTTCCTCAAGGATTTAACCACACAGTCCACCTCAAACTTCACTAAAATAGAATGGGAAAACACAGTCAAAATTAATACATTATCACAAAATACCTTCTTCAGGAAAAAAAAAAAATAGAAGCGAGTGAAAAATATGTTTTTTGATTAAAAAGAAAAAAAAAATCTGCCACTAGCCTAAAATGTATTTTCCCAGCCATCCCAGCAGAAATAAAAATTAAGCTTCTTGCTGTTGTCAGGTAGATGGACACTATGTTAGCTTCTCAAGCAAGACAATTATCTTCATCTCAGGGTCTGGTCATTGCTGGGTAATGCAGGTCACTGGATTTTCTGACTGCATGAGCAAGAGCTGATCCTTCAGATTTGCCCCTTGAGGGCTCTGRCAGCAATGCAGCCAGTGGAGCAGGGGCAGACTGGCCATGCAAAGACAGAGGTGAGTTTGGGTTTAGTCACAGAGCCCAGCAGAATGGATTTCCGAGGCAGGAAAATGCCAGGTATGTTTGTTTCTGCTTCAATRAGGGGGATTTCATTTTCACTCTGTGTAAATAAATAGCAGTTTGCCAAAGTACATTGGCCTCTCCTAACAACATTACCATTGCACTTTCAACAATAGAAAACATTATAATAATTAATCAATTTCTTGACTCATGCAGTTCTGGAGAATACTAATACTTTTTCCGTTTGGGCTTCCTCAGGTTGTGGGTTTAAACCCATTGCGAGGTCAGAGAGACAGACTCCACTGTTGAGAGTTTCCTCTCCTCTCCTCTCCTCTCCTCTCCTCTCCTCTCCTCTCC